AAGCGGCGCTGTCTAGCGCTGTCATTTTGTTTGATGATGGCCAAAACTTCCACTTGCAAGCCCTCCGGCGTGGGTTGTGGCTGTAGGCCGGCTGGTTGTGTCTGTGGCAATTTGCCAGTGTCCTGGCTCTGCTCTTGCCTGGTCTTCGGAGGCAAGTCTCCTGCGGCCTTTAGTTTTCCCATCGCTGCAGCGTCAGGGGGAGCGTCAGGATTTGGCCTGTCCCTGCCCGTGGCCGAGCTCGAACCTCCCGGGCCTGCAGCAGATAGTTTCGGTGCCCACGTACGTCGAAAAGCCGGGCCCGCCCGCGACTTGTCGGACCATCCGGTGAATGGCTGATCAGGCACAGGTGTCGAGCTGCCTGCGAAGAATTCAGCTTTCTGCTTAGCGCTGCTTTCGCTATCAGTATTGTTCTTGTCCTCGTCTTCGAACTCCGGCGATTCATCCACGTCCGCCTCCGGCGGATTGCCCTGGGGCCCTGAGGCCGGAGTCTTCGTGCTGTCCGCGCCCGCGCGCGCCGACCCCGCCCTCGACGTGGGCGTCGCGGGGGCACTCCGCGCGCCGCCCTGCCGACGCGGCGGCGCTGGCGAAGTGGGCCATCAAAAACCAAGACGAAGTGGTTTGAGAGTACAAAGGGTGGCCAATTTCGGGGAACTTAATACACTCGATGGCATCCGCTTCGGACTGGCCCGAGCCAAGTGGCACGGATCCGCCCCCCTTGCCGCCTCTCTTCGGACATTGCGCCTGGAAGTGTTTGTCGCTCCCGCAGGTATTGCGTGCCATCCTCTTCCAATTCTTACCCATTGGATAGAGCCTGCGTCCCTTGCCCGCGCCTGCTGTGGTCCTGCGACCTTTTGCCAATACCCTTGCCTCCTGGGAATGGGTCTTCAAAGTCGCAGTCGGTCAATCGAGCCAGGAACGTGGCTATTATGCCTTTGCTGTGCAATCAGCGGACGCGTCTACAACCTTTGCCGCGACCCCCCCCTTGCGGGAGAAGACGCGCACTGCTCGCCTGAATATCCCATGGTTTGTTTTGTTTGCCACGTGTCGCCTCCACCTTTTCTTGGTGTGATGATATCCTAGGCATAGGTGCTGCGCGGCTGCGTTATCGCCATCGGGCAGGTCTGACCAGTCGTGGCGTTCCGCACCGGTAGAGGAGGCAGCGCAGGCATCCGCGCTGGAATCAGATACATCGTCGGGTGCGTGCCAAAAAAAAGCAGTAGCGTCAGGTGGCGCGCAGCTGGCCGCCGACGGCCAGCCCGCGTTTGAGCCAGACGCCTGTTCGTAGCTGTTGTTGGCGTCGCGGCCTGAAAGCATAATGGACTCAGCGGGCTCTCCATCGTTCCAAATGCTGTGCGGCGGGCTGCCGGTGCGTCGCTTATTTCGGCGTAGCATGTGCTAGCGCTGCGCCCGCTGAAGACGCTCCCGGTGTTCCCTGGCGAACGCGCGGCCAGGTGTCCATGGCTGCAAATTTGCTCCAGGAGTTTGTCGTGCTGTTGCTGAATGCGGGGCAGATGGTGGTGCGGCGGTGGCAGCAGCCGTGCTGAAATAAGATCACAGTAAGGATCTGGAAGTTGGGATTGTCGAAGCCTGCTGGGTATGCTTCCAGCCTGGACATCTCGAACCGGGCCAATGCTGAGTCGATGCGTTCGCCTCCCTCGACCCTGAAGTCGATGAGGGTGCCCCCGAAGTGAACGTCGCTCGCCCTCAGGATGTTTAAATATTACGCTTAATTGTACATGATGCGTGTGGCTCCGTAGGTGCGTCTCCCTTGTAGTGTGGCACCATAGTTGATGATGGTGGACCGCGCCCTCATGGCTAGTGTCCTGGCCAACCCTCCTAGGCCGAGCTGTAAAGCTGCGGCCTGCCGGGGTGGAGCCATGCTCGCGAACAAAGGCGCGGAAGGGTGCGTTGCCTGCGGGACCCCAGAAGGGAGTCCGAGCACGTGTTCATCCAGTCCTCCTCTTCGCGCGCATGCCACGGCAAGGCCCAGGCACACCCATATGGTTCCAACTATAGCGACTTTAGCAGATTGCATCGTCATGTTTTAGCTGATGATGTTAGGTGGATTATCATTTGATATTGCCGCGTCCGTAGGATTGCGAATGGGTGCCTGGCCTGGCGTGGTCGTCACCATGCGGATAGATATCGGTGGTTGGGTCGTGCATGGCGTGTGGCCACGCGGTGGGGATAAGGAAGAAGGGTGCAGGGTTTGACCATGCGGTAGTAAGCTGAGAGCCCTGCTCTTCGGATGACTTCGGCGACGTATCGGGGCATCCCACAACTCATCCCTCGATGGCAAGCAAGGAGGTAAGAGAGAAGCTGCGGGAATGGGATGCGGATCATAGAAGGGCATGGCCTTTGTCCGTTGCGATGATCCCGATTGAGGCGCACAGAACCGGGTGCACCTGGAATGTAGGACAGCGCTGCCTTGAGCCAAGACGCGTTGGATAAAGCGTTCGCTATACAGCATCTCCTTAAACTTTGTTTAAAACTCAAGGGGCCTCCACGACTCCAAGACTCCGAAGAGGCCTCCAAGAGGCTTTCCATCAGGACCCCAAGAAACCCAACTCATGTATCATCCGTTTTTCGTGTGTATATATATATACACACAAAACTATATTTTATATATATACCATGAAAACAATGCAATACATACATACATATACATATATTTATATTTGTGTGTATGTGTATATATGTACATGTATATATATATATATATACAACATGCTTGGCGGTCTCGCCTGTTCGGCTTCCAGAAGGTCCCAGACGACCCTGGAGGCCCCTTAGGCCGCGCCACAACGGCCCAAAGACTTCCAAGAAAGGGCCCCACAACAGCCCAAGAGGGCCCCAAGACAACCGAAGAGGATCCCACCAAAAACGCCCAAGAGGGCTCCAAGACGGCCCCGAAAGAGGTCCCAAAGAGGGAACACGAACCGAACATCCGAGCTTCTGCCCCGAAAGGCCCCCAGGAGGCCCCAAGAGGCGTCCAGGAGGCCCCAAGAGGCCCCAAAAAAGGCCCCCCCCCAAACCCCAAGAGACACCCAGGAGGCCCCACAAAGAGCCCAAGAGGCCCTCTCACTGCCCGCAAGAGGCGTCCAAACTGCCTCCAAGAAACCTTCGAGCAGCCTCCCACAACATCACACGCCTGAAGGTATGCTCCGAAGGGGGGAGCGTGTAATGCTTGCATACCCAACCGCATGGGCTCAAGGCGGCGCAGCCCGATTTGCCTGTGCCGCCTGCTCGGTGCAAAATTTGCGGCGCTGGGGTGAACAAAAGGCAGTTTGTCCGCTCCCATCGCCATCCCCTCACTGTATCCCTCACCTTGACTACCTTCCTTTACACAATGTGATACCAACCCCGAGATCTACTCACAAGAGCACCCCAAGATAGACCCACGAGAGTTCCACAAGGGGATGTTTCGGGCACCAGAGAGGGGCTCAGAATTGAGACCATCAAACTTTTGACTCGATGGTGTCTTGTGCCAACCCAGACGGCCCAGGAGACACCCAAGAGGGACCCGAGAGAGCCCCAAGCGCGAGGCTCGCCGATATCCGCAGGTTGTCCATTTATGGGGACTGCTCGGGCGGTCTCCAGCTTCGGCTTGACCATGCAGCGCGAACTTTGAAAAGGTCCTTGTGGACTCATGGGTCTGCTCGGGCTGATCCCAAGCTTCGGTTTGACGGCTGCATCTCCTCCTGTTCCACTGTATGGTTCTACATTTCATTGCTCGAGGAAAGTCGCCTGAGAATCGCTCCTGGATAATCTGGTGGGGATGCGCGAATCGTCAACTATTGCCTTCGCAGTGAAACACAACAATCATACCCCAACAATCATACCCCATCCATGCGCCCAGCTGTTGCTTCGAGTCTCGCGCTGCTGAACTTCCGCACGAAGATGCCATGCATGAGTAGGCGAGGGGGTGTAAGGGGAAGAAGACGGGAACCATAACCAGGACTTCACGCAGAAACGTCTTGTCGATCTTGGTCAGCGCCGATCTTGGTCAGCGTCAATTCGAGGATCATCGTCGCGAATCGGCGACGGCCGAATGGACAATGACCAAGATCTGCATCGATAAGATCCCGCGACATCTTGGTAATAGCCCCCGTGCTTCTTCCCTGGAGGGGGGATCGTGGCACCCTTCCCTCCGAGCCCTCTCTGCCCCCAAGCCAGCTCTCCCCAAGCGGCCGCGGCCGCCAAAACGGGGTCCGAGCAGATGTGGGCCGGAGCACCGCGTCGCGCCGCTCGTGCTTCCGTGACGTCAGGATGGAGAAAGTCGGGTTCCGAACCGAGCCGCACCTCCGGCAGCGCGCCCGGGGGGGACGAGGGCGACGAGATTGTATCCACCAAGTGCCCGATGCCTGGCCTTCGTGGGTCCAGGGGCTGTGTATACGCCTTCCTGGCTGGGCCAGGGAAGCATCTACACCGCACCTGGGCACAGGACAGGCTTGGCATGTGCAGTGGACATGTATAGATCTCGTCACCCTACGGAACGTGAGAAGGAGCAGGACCCCTCAGAAGGCGGCAGGGCTCCTCGAAGCCCTCAGGCCTTCCGAGAAGTGTTCTGTGCCTTCGGGGAAGGCTCAGGAAACTTCTCTCAGAAGGCCCAAGGCCTTCCGACACTCCTGAGAAGGCCCGCCCCTTCTCTCTTCCACCTCCAGCTCGCCGCCGAGATGTACCAGCGATGCAGCGCGATCCCCCGACCCCGTGTGCTCGGACCTGACCTGAGGGGGGAAGAAAGCTGGGACCATAACCAAGACTGAACGCGGAAACGTCGTGTCGATCTTGGTCAGCGCCGATCTTGGTCAACATCGATTCGAGGATTCATCGTCGCGAATTGGCGACGGACGAAATGGAAAATGACCAAGCCCCGTGTTTTTCCCCTCGAGAACACCCGACTTGGGCCTGCACGGATCCCCACAACCAGGCAGCCTGGTGGACACGCGCGGCAACGCCGCTGGACGACGAGCTGTGCCCATCTCTGCCGCACGCCCATGGGCCTTCTGACGCTTGGTCTCCAGCTGGCCCTTCAACATGTCGCTCATGCGCGCGGCCTTCACCTCTGGGCCGATACCGAGGGTCCCTTCCGTGCTCGTCGCCCTCGCGTGAGAGCGCACCGGCGCACACGGAGCAAAACGCCACCAGATGAGAAGACAGGGTAGCAACACGTATGTCTCTGGCATCACCCCAAACAGCCTGGAAACGGAGACACGGGTCGACACTTACTGGTGCATCGTCCCGCCCGTCTCGTCTCGGGCCGCCGTATCTAGCTGCTATTGCCCCTGGACGGCCTTGACACTGACAACACAAGGTAGCTTGACATGGCCCTTGTCCAGTCCGTGCCCAGCCCGAAGGGCCAAGCGCCGACCCCGAATGATCGCAGACCCTTAAGCTTCCCAGCGTCAAAGACCTCTAAGAGGCTGGGGGGACACACATCGAATGGACACAAAAACATGGCCACGTCTCGGCATGCCAACGAGAAAATAAACTGTAAGCGACTCGCTACATCGAACATACGCCACAATCGCGCCATCACCGTTGCAGGGAAGAGGTTTGGCAAGTGTGTCCGTGCCAAGGGGAACGTTTAGGCGTCATGTGAGACGGGGCGGGCGCCCATTCTGTCGACTCGACGCGCAAGGCCAAGTTGCTGTCGCATGCAGACGGTGGTGCCTTTGCGGCACATTCTTCCATGCGCCTGGCAGACCCCTACGCCGCGCTGCTGGGAAATAAGCTCGCCCGCGAGGGGCAAGTCTCCCAAAGTATGTCCTTCCCCGCTCGCTCCATCCGTCTCTCCCTCTCTTCTCCTCTCCTCTCCTCTCCTCTTCTCGCCTCGCCTCTCCTCTCCTCCCTCATCTCCCCCCTCCTCACTTCCCCCCTCCTACCTCTCGTTCCCCCCCCCTTTCCAGCGATCGGCGAGCAAGAAGGACCGAAGAGAGCGGCGCGGCGGATCCTGCTGAAGACGCAACTTCAACCGCACTTTGTGCACATTCTGGAGTGCGTTCTCGTATTTGTGGTCTGTCACCTCATGGTCAAGGGATGGTATGAGGATATCAGAGCAGAGGCGGGTGATGAAGAGGAGGGGGGGCGAGGAGGGGAGGGCCTGGGAGGGGGAAGGGGGAGAAAGAGGGGTAGATGGGATGGAGAAGGTAGGCGGTTTGATGGAGAGGACGATGAGAAATGAGCACGGACTGAAGGAGGAGAAAAGAAGAGGAATCGGCGGCGGAGGCGGTAGACGTGGAGGAGGCGGAGGTGGACGGGAGAAGGGGTGACTGGGGGGGGGCATTCGGGAGGCAAGGGGGTGAGAATGAGGACGGGAAGAGCACGAGGATAATGAGCTGGAGGAGGAGGCGGAGCATGACGAGGATGACCAGGACCCAGAGGAGGAGCACGACCAGGACGAGCGGGGGAGAGGAAGGAACGGGAGGAGGATACAGATGCGGACCAAGGAGGGGCAACAGCAGGAGGCGGGCGAGGCGCACGAGCGATGACGGAGGTAAGCGAAGCGAGAATTGGCAGGCGGACGTGCGCAGCGCAGCGCGCTCCGACGGCCGCCAATCGCGCCATGCGCGCGGAGGAGGCACCGATACAATCTCGCACTGAGGCGCGCGCCGTGCTCTGTGAGATGGATGTTTTCTCAAACGCCATGCCTGCAACATCAGGTGGCACCGTCGCCCTTGTCGGGCTCTGGTCTGATCCAATCAAAGCTGCGGAGAGGAGAGGGTGCGATCACGTGCCAAAAGCAGAGCAAACGTTGACTGAACGCCCCCTCTGGCTGACTGCGTCTGCTGCTACGACCCTCGGCGCCATACTCGGGTTGGCCTGAGATGAACCGCGCGCATTTGGAAACATGTTTTCTTTGAAAGCAAGTTCGACTTCCCAGAACACGCAGTTCATCACAGCGGGACCGGGGGCGAGGTAAAGGGGCTGCAGGAGAGCCTAGTATCGAATCGGGGCATCGGATCGGCGATCGGAATGAATCGGATAAGCGGACATCGGCAGCCGAGTCGGGAGAAGTCGGATCGGCGGAAATCGAACCTGCTTCCCAAACAAACTTGCGCCCAAGTCCCATGTGGACTTCACCACCCGCACTTCTGCCAGTTGAAAGCGTAGAACTATCTGAATAGGCTGTGTTGCAAATGCCTGGCGAACACGATCTTGCCGTGGCCGTTGAAATAAGACAGCGCGTGATTGCGAATGATATTCGCGTTCAAGGTACTGCTGTGGGCGACGACTAATCTATGTGCGCGACGCTTGCCTGTGCCTTCACGCTCGTACCGACCAACTCGTGGGTTACATTTCTGCTTACAACGCCTGAGGGCCCTCCCGATTGTTTCCGAGATGAGCCGGCCAGGATATCCCCGGTTCTGGAGGCGAATCATACAATCGCGGCAGTGGCAGGTGAGGCCTGCCTCGTTAGCAGCGCCGATCTATTCGCAAGGCGGTGGACAAAAAGGACAGTGGCGAACGTGGTTAGGGCGCAGAAACTTGCACATGTGGCCTCACGTAGAGGTCCCAAACTCACCTTCCCGAAGTCAATGGAAAGCTGAAGATCAAGAAATGGTAGGGCTCCCCCCCCCAGATACAGGCGTGTCCCATTTGATGTCGCGATGGTAGCCGTTGAATCGCGCGTGGGCGGCGTCTTTGACAGCGTTGGTTGAGATCAAGCGACGAGCAATCATCACTCCTGCCGAAAGCCCGGTGCAAGTCCCGTTCCGCACCCAATGCAACATATCCGAATACTGTGCAACCGTGTTGATCAATTCGAGCCAGGGGGGCAGGCAGCCAAGAGTTGCGACATCTTCTATGTTTTTAGAGCTCCAACCACTTTCTTGCTGACCCGTTGGTACGCATCATCCTGTGGGATCGTCGGGTGCAAATTTCAAACGTTGATGGTGTGATACTGGAGCGCCTCATCGTCGATGCCGCTCAGCGCTGCGAGCCTGTCCTGCAACTGCTCGGTGTTCTGAACTTCATGCGGACACTGCTCTTGAACAGGTGTTGGGATTTCGCATGGGACGTCTGAAGCCCCTTGGCTCCAAGACCCTGTGAGATTCATGATTGTTCTGCCCCTTTTGTGGAGCTTCGGTCGAATGCGGAACTTGTCAGCCTCAGTATTCTGCATGGCGCGCGCAAGAAAAGCGGCGACATTCTTCAAGTCGACTCTGGCGGAAAAAGCCGCGGATGTGTGGTCGATGGCAAATTCGGGGAGAACCTGCGTATCTCTGACCATGACTTGGAAAAGTGCCCGTGCAATAGGCGTGGCCGCTTTTCCCAAGAGCCTGAGACATCCCAAGTGGCGTCGAACAGTCCGTCGCCCAGGTTTTTGTCGACATCTAGAACTTTGACGCGATCTGAATTCTTCAGGAGCCAGGACATCGCCTTGGAGTCCCAAGAAGACCAATTCCTCCTCTTGGGTGGCGGATTGTAATCTGCCAGAGCCCACCGAGCAATGCGGAGTTCTCGGTCGAGGGCTTCACTGAACTCAGGTGTGAAACTGCTGCGCTGCTTGAAGCATTGAAACAAATAACCACGATTGTATTCGACATCCTCGTAGTAATGGGACAGAGCACATATGCGCGAGAGACGGAGAAGATTGGGTAGTATGTTTTTGATATGTGAGCAACGCTGCTGGAGGTGAAAGCATTGTATGGGTAGTCTGGGGTGGCCTCGGCAACTTCCCTGTCAAGGAAAACGTGGATCTTTTGGGGCTGCACTCGGTGAAACAAAAACGAAAGCTTAAGCGCATTATGTGTGTAATCGTGTACTTTTGCACATTGATGACTGTGCGCTCCTCGACCTGCCAGTGCGAGTGCCGGGGCCATTTTTGTCCAGTGCGAGTGGGCTCAGGCTTGCCCTTGCCCTTGCTTTTGTCCTTCCCGTTGCCACCGTTCTGGCCCTGGCCCCGCGCGACGGTGGTCTTCTTGCCCTTCTTGCCCTTGCTGGCACGGGCGTCGGCAGACGGGGAGACTCCCCCTGGGGAGCGCGCCGGCGCGCCGCTCCGGGGGGCCTTCGAAGAGGGCCTTGACGATGAAGAAGTACGACGGCCTGCAGAAGAAGCTGCGCTGCTCGTGCCCCGCGGATGCCAGCTATTGACGCTGACTGAACCCGTGGATCTTCTGGAAGCCTTGGAACTTGCGCTCGAGGCTCGCGGAGTTGGCCAGGAAGGCCGCAACTTGTCCACAAATTGTATGCCGAAATCTTCCATTACATCCGGTTGGCCAGTGAGAAAATGTTCAACAATGCTTCCTTGAGTTTTTGAATTTGCGATTGCTTCCGGGTCGCCCCCTGGCCTGTCTCCGAAGCTGCTCGCTGCAGGGGCCGCTTCAGGTCCCTTTCGAGAGCCGCGAGCGTTGAGAGCGAATGGTTGTCCAGTTTGGAGATCTTCCTGTTCGCCGCTGCTAGATCGAGCTCCCTCGTGCGATCGTTCTCCTTCAGATTGTGCATTCTGGACTTCGCCGCTGGAATCTTGGATCGGAGGAAAACCTCCGCGTAGGCGTCGATCTGCGTCTGGATGATAAGCTGGTAGGGAGAAACCATTTCGGTTGGGCTCGATCCACTCTGTCGTGACCGGGTCCTTGAGTTAGCAGAAGAGAATTCTGGGATCCGCAAACTTTAAGTCTTCTCCTGGTGAACGAAAATAAAGAGCTGGGTTTCCTTCGCTTGCCTGGCCTGTAGCCAGGTGTATGCCTCGTCGACCTTGTAGTCCTCAAGCGGGTCTGTCTGATCCATTCTACCAGAGGCTCGAAGCTCGTTGGCAATGTCCTTGTCGATGTCAAGTTCCTCGATGGGCCTTGCTGCCATTATGTACGTTTTGGGGAACTGCCACTGTCACTTCGCGGTAGGTTTCAGCGTGCTCATCAGCTCGTTGTTCTGCTTGATTTTATCGTACTCGTCTTTCATTTTTGTCTGGGTCTCGAGCTGGTCGAGAGCATCCGCTGCGTCCTTACTCCATTTGTCAGTCACCTTGGACAAAACAGGATCAAAACCATGCACAATCGCTTGATGTTTCTCCAAGTACTTTCCCTCGTAGAGAACAGGTCGCATCAGGGTGTCCAAATGTGAAGTCTGCTCTTTGATGGCATGCCTGGACGAGATCATCCAAGCCTGCTGGTCGTGGCTCTGAACTGGCGACCCACCGACTGGATCCAAGTATGGCCCCTGCTGTGTGGAAACCTGGCGGCAGGCCTGGCGCCCCGAGCCGTCCGTGGAGGGCCTTGAAATGGCGCGCCACCCTTGGCGCCGCCCTTTGCTGCACTCCCCGGTTGAAGCATCGCGCGCGCGAGAAGCACTCAGGATGTCCAAAGCCACTCTCTGAGATGGATGTTTTCTCAAACGCCATGCCTGCAACATCAGGTGGCACCGTCGCCCTTGTCGGGCTCTGGTCTGATCCAATCAAAGCTGCGGAGAAGAGAGGGTGCGAGCACGTGAAAAAATCAGGGGCAAACATTGAGTGGCCGCCCCCCTTGGCTGACTGCGTCTGCTGCTACCCTCCCTCAGCGCTATACTCGGGTTGGCCTGAGATGAACTGCGTGTATTTGGAAGCAATGTTTTGTGGAACCAGGTTCGACTTCCCAATACACGCAGTTCATCACAGCGGGACCAGGGTGGGGTGCAGCAGCTGCAGGAGAGCCTAGCATCGAATGGAATGAATCGGACTGGCGGACATCGGCAGCCGAGTCGGGAGACATCGGATCGGCGGAAATCGCCAGGCGGGTTAAGACAACCATCGAGAGACCGAAATCCAAATCAGAATCCGAAATCGAATCGAATGATAGGTCAATCGAAAACGAATCGAATCGAGTCGGAAGACTCCAAATGAACCCTGAACTGGGGGTCCCAAAACGGTGCGCTGACAAACTGTGAGGTGACCTCGGGATCACCCAAGAACCTCATCGCACGGTCCATCACCGCGCGGCTGTGGGACCTCGGAGGCCCCAGTCGCCCGAGACATACTCGGAGAACACCCCGAGTCCCAAAACCGTGCGGCCATCCCGAATCCTGACCGACTCACCACCACACGGTGTGGTCGCCGCACTGTTTGGGGTCCCCCGAAGGAAAGTGATCCCACTGGAAACGGGCCCTGGATCTTAGGGCTTCCCCTGAAACTGGCTGTTGGGTTGCGTTTTGACGGTCCAGGGGCCCATGAAGGGTCCAGGGAACCCACGAGAGATGCAAAATCTCGAGGACCCCCTCTTTTTATGCGGGGACATGCTCCCACCCCGCGGTGCAAGAACATGCCGCCGGGTGCATGCGCTGATCTCGCGAGATGCACAACTCTACGAGGGCCGCGGAGCACAAACGTACGCTCCCGCTGCCCCGGGTTGGTATGGCCCCAAGGAGGAGTGGGGCGCTCAAGTGCTCAAGTGTCTGCCCGCAGCACCCCCAGCCTCCGCCCAAGGCCGCCGATAGCGAGAAAGGAGAGGGGGACCACGACGGGGCAGGACATGCCCTATTGAGCGAGCGTGCATGCACGCGCTTGCGCTGGCCGTCTTCGCGGCCGGGGCAGAAAAAGTGCCTGTCGTCGGGGGGCAGCCCGTGACTGAATCCCTTTTGGAGGGGTGATTTATTTCAGGTCGCGTCGCGCTCTCTTGCTCATCTGTGGGGTCACGCTGGCCACGATGGCTTGGAAACTTGGTTGTGCAAGTTTGCCAAAACCCTGGTACCTGCAAACAACTGTAAAGCAAATTTGGGCAATGGCGCGCGCGCCACACGCGCGCCACATGCCCACGACACACACACGCTCACGCGGATTAGAACCGAAACGACCGCTCCAAGTTTTTCTGGTTCCCCGGAAGTTCTGGGACACGCGTGCGGGCGGGCAACCGGGTGGGGAAAGAAACGCAAACCGAATGAACTCCGCCGGTGAAGGGAGGGAACCACGGATTAAACAAGGAAGGCGCGGCCACCCTTAGCCGCGCTGGGTGTTCCCATTCAGATGAAAACCTGTTCGCCGAAAACGGTTAGCTTTGAGAACATCTAGGGCCATGGCTCTCCTCGAGTCTCACCCCAAGTAACCTGACCCTTACATCGGGCTGCCAGAATCAGGAATTGTCGGGTTGAGGAAATACCGCCATATTTCAAACAACGCGCAAAAGGGCCGTGGGTGACTTTGAAGCAAAGTGAACTCCCGTCGTGCCCATCACGGCATGGCGCGGAGGCCGTAGTATCTCACCAAAGACAATTGATTCATCATAATTGCGAGGGCGCGCCACTGGATTACCCAGGGGGGGGTCGGACCCCCCCGCGCCCTCCCCCCCTTTCCCCGATCCGTCGTCCAGGAACCCCCCATCCCCCCCCCTTCCCGATGCATCGCCGCGGAAGCCCCCCCCCTTTGAAAAGAGGGGGTGGGGGGTTCAACCCCCTCCCCTTTGGACTCAGAGTGGGAACTCCTCCCCCCCTTTTCGTTCCCGTTGGCTCCGGAACCGGACCACCGACAAACTAGCACCGGAACTCCGCGTAAGCAACCCGTAAACCCCAAGCCCCAAGTCCTACGACCTGAGCCTTGAATCCTGACCCCTAAACCCAGGCCCTGGAACCCAAACCCGAAACCAGAAACCCTAGCCCCTAAGCCAGGAGCACTAAACCCGAAGCCCTCACCCCTCATACCTAAGCCCTGAACCGTAACCCCAATGCCTCAAGCCCTAAGCCCCGACCCCTAACCCCTAAGCCCTAATCCCTAAGCCACGAACCCTACGCCCTGAGCCACGAACCCTAAGCCCCTAACCCTTAACCCCTATGCCCTATGCTCCAAGCCCTGAACCCTAACCCCTAAGCTCTGAACCGTAAGCCCAGAAACCTAAGCGTTAAGCCCCGAGCCTTAAGACCTGAGCCCTCAGCACTAATCCCTAAGGCCTAAGCCCTAATCCCTAAGCCCCGAACCCTGAGCCCAAAGCCCCCAACCCTAAAGCTCTGAACCCTGAGACCTAAGTCTCGAACCCCAAGCCCTAAGCCCTGAGCTCTAAGCCCCGAAGCCTAATCCCTTAGCCCCGAACCCTACAGCCCTGAACCCTAAGCCCTAATCCCGAAGCCCCGAACCGAAAAACCCTAAGCCCCGAACCCTAAAGCCCTGAACCCGAAGCCCTAAGCCCCGAACCGTAAACCCTAAGCCCCGAACCCTAAAACCCTGAACCCTAAAACCCTGTGCCCTGTCCCTAAGCCCTGAACCCTAAACCCTAAGCCCCGAACCCTAAGAAGCCCCGAGCCCTAATCCGTAAGCCCCAAACCCTAAGCCCTAAGCCCCCAACCCGAAAGCCCCAAACCCTAGCCCTGATCCCTAAGCCCCTAACCCTAAATTCTTTTTCCTATAATTACTAAATCCGAATTGCGATAAAACCGGCCGTTATGCAAACCGGCTCCATCTACGGCAAAAAAATATTTTCTGAGCATGCTTGCAGCATCTCTTTTTTACAACACAAAGTGCCCAGTCCCCGTTGCGAGCCCGCTCCATCTACGGCAAAAAATAGCATTTCCTGAGCATGCGTGCAGAATCTCATATTTTCTACATTACAAAGTGCCCAGCCCCCGTTGCAACCCCGTTATGTAAACCCGCTCCATTTACTGCAAAAAAACATTTCCTGATCCTGAGCATGCTCCATCCTGGGCATGCGTGCAGAATCTCTTGTATTTTACACTACAAAATGCGGCCCCCTTCTGTGCACCGCCTCCATCGCCTGGACAACCTCCCGCTTCCTGCGCATGCGTGCAGAATCTTTAGCCCGTTAGAGCAATCGCGTGCCAACTGGATCGCGCATCCGTCGTCGCCGTCGTCGTCGTCGTCGCCGTCGTCGACGTTGCACTCGCTGTGGTTCTACCGAGGGAAGAGAAGATCTTTATGGTGGGGTGGCGTGCGGGTGGGGGTGACGGCCACCGCAGGTGGGTTCGCGGTCCAGGTGTACTCGTGGCCACGCCTAGTAGACCCTAAGCCCTAATCCCTAAGCCCTGAGCCCCAAACCCTAAAGTCATGAACCCTAAAGCCCTAAGCTCTCAGCCCTAATCCCTAAGCCACGAACCCTAATCCCTAAGCCCCGAACCCTAAAGCCTTGAATTTTTTATCCTATAATTAGAAAGCCCTAAATGTCTAAAAACCGACCCGGCCCCCGACCCCGGCATGTAAACTGGCGCTATCCCTTGCAAAACATACAATTTCCTGATCATGCGTGCTGTGCAATACAAACGTGCGGTCACCGCCGTACAGCCTCGCCATTCCTGGTGCATAACATTTTCTGATCATGCGTGCATAATCATGTGAGACTTTCCTTCCTACGTGCGCCGCTGACGCAAGTTCTTGTGCTCGACTATGCGAGTTCCATAATGTTTCAGGCGCTCACAACGCTCCCAGGCGGTCCCAAGCGCTCCCAGGCGCTTCCAGGTGTTCCAGGCGCTCCCAAGCGCTCCCAGCGCTCCCAGGCGCCCCCAGGCGCCCCCAAGCGCTCCATTCGTTGTACTTACATAGAGGGGAGAGATGATTTTTAAGGTCGGGTGGTTTGCGGGTGGGACTGGCAGCCGCCGCAGGTGGGCTCCCAGGCAGGATGGGTATCAGCTGCGGCAGAGCTTGTAGACCCTAAGCCCTAAGCCCTAAGCGCCGAACCCTAAGCCCTGAGCCCCGAGCCCTAATCCCTAAGCCCTGAGCCCTAAGCCCCGAAGCCTAAGCCCGAAGCTTCGAATTCTAAACCCTAAGCCCCGAACCCTAAAGCCCTGAACCCGAAGCCCTAAGCCGCAATCCCAAAGCGCCGAACCCTCAAGCCCTGAACCCTAAGCCATCAGCCCTAAGCCCTCAGCCCCGAGCCCTAAGCCCCGAACCCTACAGCCCTGAACCCTATGCCCTAAACCCTGATCCCTAAGCCCCGAACTCTAAGTCCTAAGGCCTATGCCCTAAGCCCTAATCCCTGAGCCCGAACCCTACTCCCTAAGCCCCGAAACCGAATGCCCTGAATTCTTAATACTATAAGTATTAAACCCTGAACACATAAAAAAGGGTACACACGCTAACATGCGACCTTGCCATTAAGCCCTCGCCATCCGATGCAAAACATACTAGTTTCTGATCATGCGTGCTGTAAACCCTCGCCATCCTATGCAACAACTAATAGTTCTGGAGCACGCGTGCTTTAAACCCTCGCCATCCCTTGCCAAAAAACACCATTTCCTGACGTTCATGCACCTACGAGACTTTCCTTAACAAAGAAGTACTCTATAGGTCCCCGAAAATTCTTTATGGTAGGGTGGTTTGCGGGTGGGACTGGCGGCCACCGCAGGTGGGCTCCTTGGCAGGAGGTGATCAGTTGCGGCGAAGCTTGTAGACCCTAAACCCTAAATTCTCCATTGTATAGTTACTAAGCCCTGAACGCAAA